ACAACCAGGTGATGGGAAAGTTTGATCTTCTTGGTACTACCACCAACATGTAGAGCAACAAACCAGGCCATGGGTATTAGTTTTCCATTCAGGTCCAGTTCTCCAGTTGGGGATGCTTAATAACAGCTCCAAGATGGCTGTGAATGGTGGCTGGCTGGTTATACAATTTTATTTACTGATCAATTAGGTAGGTATCTTTACTCAAATTCTTAGCTTCATATTTTGTATTTAGTTTGAAAAAACCCTTAGTGACTATTTTGAAGAATTACAAAAAGAAATCACATTTTAGTGCTAAAATAATACGTACGTATTACCATCGAATAAAAAAACTCAATATTACCAACCACACCGTAAAAGTAATATTGTTAAGAAATTTTTATAATGTTGGTACTTTACACCCTTAACTGCAATTTTAAGATTTGATTGAGATAGAGAAAAATGCAAATATACGTAATACAAAACGTAATAAATTTCTTAGCTCCTTCCAGACATAACATCTTCGTCAAGCATTCCAATATATCATGGCATTTCAAAACGACACCAACTTAAATCCAAGTCAAAGTCACCGGACACCACTCATAAACTAAACCCTATTAAATAAAGTGGAGCGAAGAACAAAGCCAGTTCTATAATCGTTTAATATTTTTTTACTTCCCTTTTTTAATATTCGGTTACCACGGCGCATGTTATACGATTTGAACTTAATGTAACGAGGTGTTTGTTCTCTTAATCGTTACAATTTTTATTGCCGTTTCCATACTTATTTCACTTTTATGACAAATTGTGCGTTTTCTTTCTTGCCAGCAGCTACTGTGTAGGTATAATAAGACAAATATGAAAGAATGGGGCAACAATTTCTTTTTCTTACGTTTGAATGTGAGCTGCTGTTACAACCACCATAATTTTGTAGTCTGCATAAATTATGTCTATACGAAACTGTTGAATAACAATGCAATACAAAAGGACCTCTCAATTATTTCTCTAATCGATTATCGAATGTGTCATTATGCGATTTTTCGTGTGAGAACGTCGATTGTGATCTCAAATGTGAACAAAAGTGATGACAGTCGTACGAAAAACAGATTCGCAGGTAGGAATTTAATTCAATGATAACGTGTATATGAATAATATATTTACTTATTCTTACGGATTGAAAAAACCCCGAGGGTTTGTAGGTAATTCCGGCATGTGCATTTTATTAATGATCATGTGGGTATGTTGGAACTTCATTGGTATGTATGTATAAGCAAAGAATTTATTAGTTACTCTTTGGTATAAGTATGAAAAAATTTAAAACAAAGAAGCAGTTAATAGTTAAAATGCCTAAATATTGAACCCAAGTCGAGAAAAGAACCTTGGAAAGTAAAAACATCTCCACAGCAGTATCTAAAACTGTAAACAATTTGCATTTTTTTGAAAATGTGGAACTGCTGGAATTTGATTACTAAAACGCGCGTCCTAGATTTACATCCCTCTCAGAATTACAGACGCTATTCCTTGCATCATTCTGATTCTCAAAAGCAGCGTTTCTTAACCTTTTTCAGTCCGCGGGTCCCTAGAAAATCAAGTACAATTTCAAGGACCCCATCAATAAAAAAAAGAATAAATTTCGGCCAATTGATTTTAGTACCTACTGAAGAAAAGTATATTTTTATAAAAATTAAAAATACTGTATCAATGTGAAATTACCTCATACAATGTATTTTTTTAAACATCTACCATAGCTATTTCAGCGCCCATCAAAAATATATAAAAATATGTCAATTGTATATTTAAAAGTACTACTCTTGGATTAAGTTACATTAATAGAAATAGGAAAAACTCGTTATTATCACATTCTTCACCTTTATTTTTGACCTTTTAAAGAAATCTAGCAAAAGCTATGAACAATCTTGGATATTATCATACTTATCAGGTGTTTTGGAGCAAATTGTAAAAGAAAAAGAAGGGTCCGGTTTCAGGACCGTTAAAAAATAATTCAATAAGAAAAACCATTGACATTTTGTACTAGAACTAAAATAGTTGCGGTGCCAGATTTAAAAAAAAAAACAATAACAGCAACAGTAATATTTAAAACATACCAAACATCGCGCGAAAAATGTGCAAGTAAAGTTGGTCCCTAAGTAAAAAATATAACAAACAAAATATTTCATACAGGTTAAAAGTACAATAAACGCAAAATTTGTACCAAATATCAAATCCGAAAATTAAAAAAATAGTATACAGGTTGATTCAAATTCTAGGGCTACCATGGGGATCTCAGAAACTGTAAGAGATAGGTAGTTTAAATTAGGCAAAGTTGCGTATTTTAATGCTTAACAAAATGCAGTTTTCAAATAAAAAATTCACACTACTTTCGGAGAAATTTTGCAAAATTATTATTGTTTTTTTTACTGAAGTTATATTTAAGAAGATATTTCAAAATAAATGACACATTATTATGGCCACTTTTTTCCCTCTACAAGATGATAGTCAGACGTTTCGTCTCCCGTTAACCATCGTCAACTTTCTTGATAGATAAATATTATTAAAATATCTTGGGTAGTGTATATTTGTAGTTTCTTGCGTTTTAGCGCCATTCCATATTAAAAATAGTGATATTTACATTTTTAAAATCAGAAAAAAAAGCTCAAATGACACAAAAAGTAAAAATGACTTCCATAAGAAAATACAAAGTTGACGGTTGTTAACCGGAGACGTAACGTCAAACTTAAAATTTAAAGCTACCATCTTGTAGAGGAAAAAGAGTGGCCATAATAATGTGTCATTTATTTTGAAATATCTTTCTAAACAGGGGCGGACTGGCTCGGGGGGGCGGGTGGCGATTGCCACCTGGCCAGTACGTCATAATGGCCCGTTGGAAATTTATAAGTATGTGCTGTATTTAGTTTCTTGCACTATTAATAAGTTATTAACACGTTTCTCTAATTGGGGTTGATGTTAGGTTGTTAAAAAATTAAAAAATTCTGTTTTAATTGAAATGTTTTACAATGAATTTATCATTTTTTGTCGTAGCATGAAAGAAAATTTTTTCCCTGGTCGATCTGAGACAATTTTTTTTTCGTGGCTCAAAAAAAGGCAGTGTATATAACCTTCCTTTTTTACCAAAAAACGACTGCACCAAAATTTCTCGGGAAAACACTTTTTCTTATTAATTTTGGTGCGTAGAATCTAAAACAATCCGTACTTTTTCGATCGGACTTCTCAATCAAAAGTTTTAATCATCAGCTGCAATTTAAAAAAAAAACTGTATTGTAATTGATTTCCGAAAAAGGAGTAGTAAAATGAAGCAAAAAAATGTTTTTGTGGTGCACCGCAGAGTTGGCCCCCCCCCCCCCCCCCCCCGCCACCATCATTACTACACTAATACTGTAATGGCCCGTAACCTATGCAATTCCACCTGGCCCGTAAGTACCCAGTCCGCCCCTGGTTCTAAATAACTTTGGAAAAACCGGAAAAACTGTTTTTTTTCGTTTTTTATTCTTATTTTTGCGAAAAAATGTCGTAGGGGTTTGAAATGTGGAGGTAACATAGCCTGTTTTATGATAAAACAGAAGATAATTGTTTGGGCCCAAAAAGTTGAACCGTTTCCAAGATCTCACGATTTCTGAAAAAAACCACCTCTTTTTCAAGGGGATGAAAAATTTATTTTTTTTCATCGTGCAGAGGTGCGCGGGGTAGCAAAATTTTCGGGAAGACTTATATTTTAATAAACAAAAATAAAAAAATATTATTCCTATAGCAAAAATTCGAGAAAATCGCCAAAAACCGGAAAAACAGTTTTAAGATATACACAGTTTTTGACATGATTTAATCAACATGTTGGATGTTAATAAAGATTTTTTCGAATACTGTCTTCTTCCTTCTCTTTAATGTTTCCCTAAATATTCTCTTTTGTTATCTTATGCTCAACTGTTTTAGTTAAAACATCTTTATTATTTCTTTTTTCTGCATTTTTACCGCAATAA